GACTGGCGCTGGGTGACGGTCTGCGTGCCGTCGTCGTTGTCGACCGTGATGTTCGTGATCTCGTCGAAGTCCTTCTGGTAGAAGTGGACGAGGAACTTGAGCTGTGGGAACCGGAAGCGGATCTTCTTCACGAAGGCGGTGAGCTTCTCGAAGTTCGCCGCGGCTTCGTTGAGCTTCGGGTCGAAGAGTGCGATTCCATCTGCGGAAACCGTGTAGTGCGGATTTCGGCTCGCGAGTACTTGTGCCATCGCGAAGTTGAGGTGGATGTCCGGGTCGTCACGGGCGAGTCGGAGACGCGGATGGGGGCCGTGCGCTGGCTGGAGCGCAGGGGGCAGTGCCGGACCCGGGGTTGCCGGGGGCGTGTCGATCGGAGCGCCGAGGCTGAGCGAGCCGGGCCGATCTGCCGTCCTATTGGGCGGGCTTTGGCGACTGTGCGAGTCGCGGGAGGTGGGCGTGGGGATGTGCGAGCAGGATGCGCAGGAGCGAGCTGAGTGGGCTCAGCAACCCAGAATGACACAGCCCGGTGTGTTTGGCAGTGTGACTTAGAGTGCCGCTGGGCAGCGGACCGGGGACCTCAAGGAGGCTGCCCCATCGCGTGGTGCAGCTGGCGATAGGTATCTTTGGCCACGTTGAGGCCGGACTTGCCTCTGGGGACTATCCGTTGGGAGGCCGTTGACGGGGCTGGAGAGGCCGTTGGGGGGAAGTGTCCTTGGCGTCCTGTGCCCCGAAAGAGATGCGCGCGCGCGCTCGCGATATCGGCTCCGATTTCGCGCGTCTCGATAAGCCGACGCCTCTTTCAGGTTCATCACCAAGTCATGCGCGTCTCCACGCTCCTCCTCGCCGGCGGCGCCGCCGCCTACAAGCAGGAGTGGATCACCACGGCCTACACGAACGAGGAGGTGGACCCGGCGTGGCTCGAGCAGGACCTGCGCACGGACAACCGCGACTACGCCGTGCTCGTCTACACGCCCGAGTGCATGGACACGAACAGCTGCAGCAAGCCCGTGCACCCCCTCCTCGTCATCTACCAGGAGTCCTTCACGACGAGCGAGCAGGTCACGTGCCACTTCTTCGGCGCGTGCAAGTCGACGGACCCGGAGACGGGCGAGACGACGAACTACTCGGAGACGGACATGCTCGAGTGGGCCGTCGACGAGCTCGAGTACGTCATCGCCGTGCCCAACGGCCGCACGGGCGGGAACATGAACGACCGCTCCCTCTACCGCATGAGCCAGGACGACCCCTACGCGTACAAGACGGAGAACGCGCACGGCTTCTTCCCGGAGAACTTCAGCGGCCGCTACTACGCGGGCACGCCCGGCGGCACGGCCTGCATCAAGGGCGCCTTCTGCGGCAACGACGAGACCCAGTGGTTCGACGAGGTCGACGGCGACGAGGCCTGGGAGAACTTCAAGTGGGAGGAGGCCGCGCTCCGCGACCTCGTCGAGACCGTCGACGCGGCCTACTCCGTCGACCGCGCGAAGATGTACGTCACGGGCGGCGGCGGCGGCGGCTTCCTCCCCGCGCGCTGGGTCTGCGACGCCGCGGACCTCTTCGCGGCGTCCTACGTGAACACGGGCATGGGCTTCGCCTACGAGGACCAGTGCCAGCCCTCCGAGCCCATGTCCGTGCTCTACCTCCACTACATCGGCCACACGGGCATGCCCTACTACGGCACGGACGTCGGCTTCACGGAGCGCGACGGCACGCCCATCGACGGCACGATGTTCGTGGGCATGAAGGACCAGAGGTGCATCGGCGACTGGTGCCTCAACAACATCAAGTCGCCGCCCGCGTGGTACTCGACGGCGAGCCCCGTGAACCAGACGGGCACCTACGACTGCGAAGACCCCTACGACTGCCTCCAGGAGGGCACGTACTACTCCGTCCCCGGCATGCTCGAGGAGTGCGCGAACACGGCGAAGTACATGTTCTTCCCCAACGCCGAGGAGCAGGCGCACCGCTACTTGCGCCTCCAGGGCTGCGACGACGTCGCCTTCGAGACGGAGACCCGCGACGGCGTCGCCAACATCATCCCCGACTGCTACAACGACGGCTACATGGAGTGCGACGACAAGCCCAAGACCTACTGGTACAACGTCAACTTCGAGTCCGTCGTCTGGGGCGGGAAGGCGGACGAGTCGTCGTTCATGCACCAAGTCGGCTGCTTCGGCTACTGCGAGTCCCTCCTCTACCCGGCCATCGCCAACATGTGGGGCTACTTCGTCGGCGCGCTCTCCAACTACATCATGGACCCGCCGGAGCGGACCTTCGAGCTCAACCTCGCCTACAACACCGGGTCCGAGTACCCGGAGGTCTTCGACGGCACGGGCCCGGAGACGGAGATGTGGGCGGGCAAGAACTGCGACAACGGCGTCAACGTCGAGTTCTACAAGATCTGGGGCCAGGAGACGTCCGTGGACAAGAAGTCGGCCGGCTCGTACCTCCCCTACAACTGGACGTCCCACTCGGAGCTCGTCTTCAACTTCTTCGAGGCCAACCCGAAGACGATCGCCTGCTCGAAGGACAAGGACTGCCCGAGCTACTACGTCTGCGACGACGGGGCCCGCCGCAAGCTCAGCGAGCCCGCGGCGAAGTGCTCCGCCATCAAGAAGCGCAAGGAGTGCAAGAACGCCGCGAACAAGGACACGTGCTCCTGGAGCCACCACAAGAAGAAGTGCAAGAGCAAGCGCAAGGCGTGCTCGTCGCTCGCCTCCAAGATGAAGTGCCACAAGTCCAAGTACCACAACTTCTGCAAGTGGAGCCACAAGAAGGACAAGTGCCGCAACGTCAAGTGCAAGGAGATCGACGCGAAGCGGGACTGCAAGAAGGGCTGCGAGTGGAAGAACAAGCAGTGCCAGAAGGAGCGCTCCGTCGACTCCGGCGTGTGCGTCCAGGACTTCTAGGGCGCGACCCGCGAGAACGCGGGCCCGCGGGCCCACCGCGGACCGGAGGGGGCGCGTCGGACGGCGCCGCGGGCCCATGCCCCGCGGCGAGCCGCAGACGCGCCGCTCCCTCCCCCCCCATCCCCTCCCCCTTTGAGAGATTTATCCCCCTGGGCTCCCGACGCCGCGTTCAGCGCGACGTCGCTGCCCCACGCCAACGGCCTCGCCAAGCCGCCCGCGGCGCCTACCGCGGGCCGAGCAAAACTCGCGCCCGCCGCCGATCGAGGTAACACTACGATTCGTTGCTCGACAAGCGGCAGCGCTTGCGTTGGTTGAACATGAGGAGCTCCCCCCGTGCATCGCGAGGCCACGCGTGGGCCTTCGGCGAGGCGCGTCCGCCGTGCGCCATCCCCAGCGCGACACCGCGGGCGCCGTCGCCAACGCGAGCTGAAACTATTAATACACGGCCATCTGGTCGAAGGGGAAGATCCGGCACACGACCCTGCCCTTGATCATGGCCGTGGGCACGGGCCCGTAGACGCGCGAGTCCGTCGAGTTCTCCGCGTTGTCGCCCAAAAGCCAGGCGTGGCCCTCGGGCACCGTCGCCGACGGGAAGCTCGGCACGCGGCCGCCGCCCAGCGCCGCGACGCGCTTGCAGACCGTCTGGTGCGGGTGCGTCGGCGATTTGCAGATCACGACGTCTCCCACGCCGACGCGGCCGAGTCGCGGCGACAGGCGGTCCATGAGGACGATGTCGCCCGTGGCGTTGAAGGTCGGCAGCATGGACGGGCCGCAGCACATGGACACCTCGACGACGTACTCGTGGAGGCAGTGGAGGAAGGCGCCGAACTTCACGAGGTTCCAGAGCGACGCGACGTCCAACAGGTCCTCCTCCGGCGGCGGCGGCGTTCTCGACGACGCCTGCTGCGCCTCCTTCTGCAGCGCGCGGCGTGACGGCACGCGCGGTCGCCGGGGTCGTGCCAGGTGCGCGAAGGCGCGCGCCGAGGCGAGCAGCATGCTCATCGATGCGCTCGGCAACAATCAATGACCTCGGGGACACATTAGAACATTGACCAAGGGTTGCAGCCCATCCGCGCTGTCCGACACGATGGACGGCATGGACCTGGGCATGGACCTGCTGGATTCGCACGCCCTGGGCATGGGCCTGGGCCTCGCGGCCCCGAAGAAGGCGTCGCGGCGGGACATCCTCCTGGGCCGGACGTCCCAGGCGGCGCTCGAGGACGAGCAGGCGAGGTACGGCCTGGGCGAGGGCATCGCCCCGGGCGAGGTCTGGCAGTGCCACTGCTGCGCCAAGGACAACGTGGCCACGGCGGCCTACTGCTGCTGCTGCGGAAGGGGCGCGGGCTACCGGCGCCAGAACGCGAGCCGGCCGCTGAGCCTGCCGGACTGCGTCGCGGCGATGCGCGCGAACCAGGTCGAGGGCTACCTCGACGGCGTGGCCCGCAAGAAGGCCGCGGACCTCGCCCCGGCGGCGCGGGACCGCTTCCTCGCGGGGCCCGACGGCCCCATCAACGCCCGCGACGAGCGCGGTTTCACGAGTCTGCACGTCGCGGCGCTCGCGGCGAACGCGGGCGCCGTCGGCGTGCTCGTCCGGCGGGGCGCGCTCGTCGAGGCGCGCACGAAGCCCCAGGGCTGGCGCGCCATGCACCTCGCGAGCTACTCGGGCTCCAAGGAGACCGTCGCCGCGCTCTGCAACGGCGGCGCCAAGGTCGACTGCGCGACGGCCGCGTGTTTGAGCACGCCGCTCCATTTGTGCACGGACGGCGAGGCGGCGCAGATCTTGTTAGATGCGGGCGCGGACCCGTTGGCTTTGGACGTCCAGGGCCGGACGCCGCTCCACACGGCCGCGGCGCTGGGCAAGGTCGACGTCGCGGACGCCGTCGTCTCCGCGGGCGGCGTCGCGATGCTCGAGATGGCCGACGGCGACAACTGGCTCCCCGAGGCGACGGCGGAGTTCTACAGCCACCACGACTTCGTGCGCTTCTGCCGTCTGCTGGAGGCCGAGGCGCAGAACAAGCTCATCGAGGAGCTCCCGAACCGCGCGTGGGCGGGCGACGTCTGGGACGCGGGCATGCGGTCCTTCGCGCGGCGCAAGGGGACCGATTTGGCCAACGGCGGCAAGCGGAGCCTGATCGTCGAGGAGCTCCTGAGGATCCGCGGCATGCGGACCACGGGCATGATGGAGAAGCACGGCGCGGAGACGCGCCGCATCTGGGCCGACGCCGAGCGGAAACGCGACGAGGACCTGCTCTCCCTCGAGGGCTCCGTCGACGGCAGCTTCGTCTCCGCCGGCTCGCGGAACATCGTCGCGTCCATCGGCACCGAGGGCACGATGCCGCTCTCGGGCCAGGCCGTCGTCTTCGACGAGTACCTCGCGAACCTCAAGAACGACGAGTCGGACCCCGTCGCCATGCGCCGGCGCAACGGCGTCTACTCGCGCGACTTCGACCCGCTCCACAAGAGCATCACCAAGGAGCTCGAGCAGCACCAGCTCATCCCCGTGACGGACCCGCGCCAGGGCCGGCCGCCGCTCTCGCTGCGCCGCACGCCGCGCCAGTGCCACACGATCTTGTTCGGCGGCGAGAGATAACACGAGGCGGTGCCTCCGGCGCGTAGACCGGCGCGGGGGCGGGGAGCCGCTGGCGTCCTCGCCGGGATCTCGCGCGCGGTGCTTGGCGCGCTCGCGCCTCGCCGGGATTCTTCGGATGCGATGAGGTAGCCCATCACGCTCGTCGACAGCTCGAGGTAGTCCATGCGATGAGGTAGCCCATCATGGGGAACCCGACGGTGACCGCGAAGGTCGTCGCGAAGAAGGGCTGCAAGATCCGGAGCGAGCGCAGCCTGAAGTCGACGTGCGTGGCCCTGCTCGCGCCCGGCACTCTCTTGTCGATCGAGGGCTGCCTCGACGACGCTCGCGTGGCGACCATATCCCCGGTCGCTGGCTTCGCGAGCATCAAGACGCTGCGAATCGTCGACGACGCGTCGCCGGAGGATCTGATTCGCAGCGCGTGGCGCCACTTCCACCCGCTCCGTTCCGACGACGAGCTGGCGAAGACGCTCGACGCGGAGGCCGTGCGTTGTCTGCGCGCGCACGGCACGGAGCCCGCGGGCACGGGCGAGTACAACGCCTTCGAACCGCCGGGCGGGCGCGGCCGGTTCGACTGCCGCGCGTGCCGTTTTCCGCTGTATCACGCGTCGCGCAAGTTCGCGGACCAGGGGTGGATCGCGTTCGACCAGTGCTTCTTCACGGGCGACGTCGCGCACGTCGGGCTCGCCGCCGGCAACATGGACTCCATCGAGGTGCACTGCTCGAACTGTCGATCGCACCTCGGCCACGTCTTCACGGACGGCGTCAGCGGCGAGCGGCACTGACTCAACTCGTGCTGCGTCGCGTACGTGGACGCGCCGCCGTCGCACGACTACGGCCAGCCGCTGCGCCAAGGCAGCAAGGTCGCGGCCATCTCCGACCTCCTCAAGACCATGTCCTCCTGAGAGGTGCTTCGCACGTCGAATGACGACGGGACCGCGCGATCCGCGGGTTCCGTCCGAAAAGAACAGCGCAGAATTAGAAACGGCCCTAGAGCCCCAGGAACATGTCCGCCGCCTCCGGTTCGCCGAGGCAGACGTCGCAGGTCGTCCGGTACTGGGCGTCGAGCGCGCCGATGTCGCAGGGGTACTGGGGCTTGCCGACGTCGCGGTTGACGACGTTGTGGAGCTCGCACCACCAGCGCACGACGCCCGCGCGGTCCTCCGGGATGGGGCCGACCTCGTCGAGCTCGCCGCCGAGGAGCGCGTTCCGGCACGTCTCGCAGGGGTAGAGCCGCAGGCTCGCGACGAGGCCCTGCATCGCCGCGACGTCGATGGCCGTCGCGTTCTCCGGGTACTTCGCCGCCACCGAATGGTAGTGGAACCAGCTCTGGCGGCCCACGTCCTCGCGCCAGCCGAGATCCTCGGCCGGCGCGGCGGCGGCGGCGGCGCCCGGCTGCGCGGACCGCGCGCGGTGCGACCGCGTGTCCAGCGTCCCGACGACGAGCGGCCCGTAGCCCTTCTCCGCGACGGCGCCCGCGTGGTGCGGCGGGCCCGCGGCCGCGAACGCGTTCGACGCGTCCTGGCCGCACCAGCGCGTGATCACACTCTCGCCGCCGGGGTGCCACTCGAAGAACGTGCGGCCGCCCTTCTGCTCCGACCGCGTCGTGTGGTCCGAGAAGTTGTAGATCTCGTTGTAGATGACGACGAGGCAATCCTCGTGCTCCGAAATCTCGCTCCACGTCCACTTCCGCGGTTCAACATCGCTCCCGTGCACTGCCGCAGCGATGCAGGCGAGCGTCACGACGCGCGACGGAGCCATTCTCTGCAGCCAAATTTGCGGTCCAGCGCTTCTATCGAGCTCCGGCTTCGAAGCGCGCCCGCGTCAATTTTAGGCAGTTGAAGGTAACATACCGTAGTTGAAGTTGCGCCGGCGGGATATGCTATGCCTAGATGCTAGGCCCGCACTTTCACCCCTAAAAGAAAACACGCACGAACCTAGAAGAGCCCGTTACAACCGCGCGGGCCTCGCGGCGGTCATGAAGCCGCCGCGCCACTGGAACTTGTCCTTGGGCGCTTCGGCGTCGCGCTTGGCCTCGTCGCGCCGTTCGTTCGCGTCGGCGATGATCTTCTCCGCCGTCTCCTTGCTCAGGGGCAAGGGCGCCGACTCGTCGGCGAAGAAGGGGTCCCGGCGGATGCGGTCCTCGGCCGCGCGGAGCGGGCTCGGCTCCGGCTCGGCCTCGACGGGCTCGGCCTCGCAGCCGGCCTCGCGCAGGAACGACGTCTTCTTCGAGGCGTAGAGGACGACGAAGGGGTCGATGCCCTCGAGCCTGCCCGTGCGCGCGGACACGGACGCGATGAGCTCCGCGACTCTCGCGTGGCCTTGGGCGCACGCGGCCTCGAGCGGCGTCTGCTCGCGGCAGCGCGCGTCGACGTCCGCGCCGTGTTGAAGAAAAATCCCGACGAGGTCGAGGTCGCCCCGGGCGGCGGCGAGGAAGAGGGGCGTCGCGCCCTGGTCGTCGCGCTTCGGGCGGCCGAGCCGCACCTTCATGCCCCGACGGTACGCGTGGAGGTCCACCCGCGCGTCGACGAAAACGTTGCCCGTTTCCAGGAGCCAGAGCACGACGTCCGCGTGGCCGCCCGCCGCCGCCACGTGGAGCGGCGTGCGGCCGAGGGTCAACTCGTGATCTAAAACGTCGTCGCCGAGCCTCTTGTGGAGCAGTTTGGCGCAGTCGAGGTGGCCGTTGCCGCACGCGAGCCAAAAGGGCGTCGCGCAGTGCTGGCCCGGCTTGCCCACGTCCGCGCCGCAGCGCACGAGGCGCTCGAGCGTGCGCGCCCGCCCGAGGGACGCCGCGCGGCAGGCCAGCGTCTCCCGCGACTCGCTGACGCCGTCGACGTAGAACAAGTCGAGGTAGTAGACCTGTAAACTCCGGAGGAACGCCTCGTCGACGTCGCGCGCGTCCAGCGCGTCGAAGAGGCCCTGGAGCGCCCGGCGGGACGTCGCCTGCTCCACGGGCGTCTCGGGCTTTGCGGGCCGCGGTGGAGGGGGCTCGTAGGGCGGCGGCGGGTCCAGGTAGAAGAACGGGTAGCCCAAATGGTCGCGGCCCTCGAAGAGCGCGGCGTCCTGGACGCCGTGGGCGACCTCCGCGGGCACGTGGCGCGTGATCAGCACCGACGCCTCGTCGCCGGGCTCCTTGTCGGGCGTGCCGCGGCGGATCTCGAGCGGCGCGTCGCCCTTTCGGTAGCCGGGCGTCTCCGCGTATTTTTTCATAATTTTTGGCCACGCGGCGAAGCCCGCGGCGGCCGCCGCCGCGTCCGCCTCCGCGCCCAGGGCGGCGTTCGCCGCCCGGTCGGCGTCGCGGGCGTCGGCCGCGGCGAGGAGCGCGTCCTTCTCCGCGCGCCGCGCCGCTTCCGCCGCGCGCCGCGCCGCCGCGGTGTCCGCGTTTTGCGCCGCGACGCGCGCTTCCTCGTTCAACCGCTCCTTCGTCTTCTTCTCCGGCGGCGCCGGCGGCTTCGGCGTGCGCCGCGGCGGCCGCTTCATGCCGAAGGCCTTCTCGCGGACCCGGTTGCAGACCTCCGCGATGTGCTTGTCGACCTTCTCGTCGCCCGTCGGCCGCGGCGGCTGGTCCCAGTCGATGGACTCGAAGAGGCGCCTGATGCGCTCGTCGTTCAGCCATTTCGGGTCCTTCTCGGACGGTTCCGGTAAAGGGTGGTGTCTGGGTACGTTGAGGAAGCCCTTTTTGAGTTTCATGGGTTCGCTGCCCGGCGTGCGCCCCCAGTCGTACTTTTTGCCGGCGTCGTCAGCGGTTTTGCTGGCCGCCGTGTCGTCGGTCGTCATGACGTGGAACCCGGAGGGCGCATCCTTGGGCGGCGGCGCCTCGTCGTCGGGCGGATCGCCCCACGAGTACGACGCCATCGGCTTGGCGGTCGGGGCTGCCAATTAGGAGGAGGGCAACAATGGAGGGTAAACGAAGCTTCGCTGAATCACCGCCACACCGGCGTCGAGGTGGCGACCGAAGGATGCGGCGCAGCCTGCCCCTGCTCATGGCACTCGCCGCAACGACGCGCGCGCTCATGCGCAGCGGCACGAAACTCACACGCACCAGCACGACGCGCCTCGCACCGCTGCGCTCGAGCCCCCTCTCGACAACGACGACGACGACGCCCAGCGACGCGGCGGCGCCCGCCTTCGACGCGAGCGCCTTCCTCGCGGGCGCGCAGACGCTCGCCGCCGAGGCGGCGCGCATCGCCCAGGAGACGGGCCCGCGCGCCGCCGCCGCGCGGACGTTCCAGGGCCAGCGCGCGGTCGTCGACACGCTCGTCGAGCTGTCGAGCGAGCTCCCGTCGCCGCCGCCCGCGGCGACGCTCGTCGAGGCCGCGACGGCGGCGCAGCGCGCCGGCGGCGACGGCGCCGCGGCGGCCTTCGCCGAGCCGCTGCTCGCCTGGGCGCGCGAGAACGTGCCGCCGGAGCTCGCGCCGCGCTTCGCGCGGAAGTTCAGCGAGCGGTTGGGCGCGACGTACGTCAAGCTCGGCCAGTTCGTCGCGTCGTCGCCCACGCTCTTCCCCGAGCTCTGGGTCCGCGAGTTCGAGAAGACGCTCGACGACGTGCCGCCCGTCGCGTTCTCCGTGATCAAGGGCGTCGTCGAGCGCGAGCTCGGGAGCCCGCTGGAGGTTACTTTCGCGAAATTCGACCGCGCGCCGCTCGCGGCGGCGTCCATCGCCCAGGTGCACCGGGCGACGCTGCGCGACGAGTTCGGTGGCGGCGACGTTGTCGTCAAGGTGCTGCGGCCCGGCGTCGACGATTTGCTGAAGGCGGACCTCGGGTTCCTCGAGATCGCGGGCAAGGCCGCGGAGGCGCTCGTGCCGTCCTTCGGGCGGCTGTCGCTGGCGAACGTGCTCGAGGATTTGCGGGCGACCATGCTCGACGAGCTCGACCTCGAGAAGGAGGCGGCGAACTTGGAGGTCTTCCGGGCCTGGCTCGCGACCGCGGGGCTCGAGGCGACGGCGACGTGCCCTCTGCCCGTGAAGGCCGCGTCATCGAAGCGTGTGCTCACGATGGATTACGTCGACGGCGTGCCCCTGACGGACCTGGACGCCCTGCGGGCCATGTACGGCCCGACCTTCGACGCGGAGACGACGCTGCTCAACGCGTTGAACACGTGGTCGCTGGGCGTGCTCTCGTGCGACTTCTTCCACGCGGACGTGCACGCGGGCAATCTGCTCGCGTTACGCGACGGCCGCGTCGCCTTCCTCGACTTCGGCATCGTCGGCCGCGTGCCGGAGCGCATCTGGACGTCGCTCCAGGACGCGGCCGCGGGCTTGGCGTCTCGCGACTTCGAGTTGCTGGCCCGGGCGCTGACGACGATGGGCGCGGCGGAGCGCGTCGACGAGCGGGCCTTCGCGGCGGACCTCGAGGCGCTCTTCAAGAGCTTGGACGAGGTCCAGCCGGACGTGCTCGTGTCCGCGGACGGCGCGGGCGCCGTCGCGGCGACGGTGTCCGTCGACGACGCGCAGGTCACGGACCTCCTGCTCCAGGTCGTCAACGTCACGGAGCGCAACGGCATCAAGCTGCCCCGCGAGTTCGGGCTGCTCGTGAAGCAGGCGCTCTACTTCGACCGCTACACGCGGCTCCTCGCGCCGGACATGGACGTCATCAACGACGACCGCGTCGCCTTCTCCGCGCAGCTGTCGTAACGGGCCGCTTTCCGTCGATTACGCCCCCGAGACGGCGGTGTCTAGCCTGAGAGAAAGCAGACGGCCAGCTTCGCCTGGAGCTCCTCCGCGCTCGCGCCGACGTAGGCGTCGGCGGGCGCGCCGCCCTTGAGGAAGACGAAGTGGGGCACGGACGTCACGTTGTACTTCGCCGCGAGGTCCTCGGCCTCGTCGACGTCGATCAGCGCGAAGGCGTGCGCGTCCGTCTTCGCGGCCATGGCCGCGAGCTCGGGTTCGATGCGCGCGCAGTTCTTGCACCATTTGGCCGCGAAATGGGCGACGACGCGGTCCTGGGAGCTCGCCAACGCATCGAGCGCCGCGGCGTCGTGGACGTTTACCATGCCCTCCGTCGCCAGGGGCGCCGTCGACGCCGGCGGCTCGCGGCCGTCGGCGCCGCGCGACTCCCGGAGCCTCCAGTCGACGACGTCGTAGCGGGGCCGGGCCAGGTCGTAGAAGCCCGCGGCGCCGACCACGGCGACCTCGTAGCCGTCGGGGTCCGCGAGCACGCTCACGCCGACGTCGGCCTTGCCCGGCGTTTGCAGCGTCGCGGCCGGTGCGACGACGGAGCCCAGGGCCGCGGCGGTCGCGGCGTCGTGGGCCGCGCGCGCGTCCGGCACGGCGACGGCGAGGCGCCCCCGCCGCGCGCCGGGCTTCGGCGACCCCTCGCAGAAGACGACGCGCACCTGGTCGTCGCCGTCGAAGCCCAGCGTCAGCGACGACCCCGCTGGGGCGCAGCCCGGCGGCGGCCGCGCGAATTTCGTCCACCCCAGCACGTCGACGAAGTAGCGCTCCGTCGATCGCAGGCTCGCGCTCTTGAGGCAGACCGCGGACCAGCGCTCCGCGCGGCCCGACGACGGCTCGACGATCTTGTATTTGACGTCGTCGGGGCCCGCGACGACGGGCGCGCCCCGGTCGTAGGCCACGGCGTAGCCCAGCGCCGCGGCGCGCGTCGCCGCCTCGGGGCAGGCCACGGCGATGTGGAGCAACCCGTCGGCCTGCGTCGTGGCGTCGGCGCCGTAGCTGTAGGTCAGCTCGAGCGCGAAGTCGGTCCTCTCGGGGCCCCAGCCGACGACTGTCTTGGACCAGGCGCCGCCGTAGGCGCCGCCGCTCTCCGGGTGGCCCGCGGCGAACTCCTCGTGCCGCAGGATCCGCAGGCCGAAGACGAGCTCGTAGAAGGTCAGCGCGTCCCGCAGATTGCCCGTGCGCAGGGCCCAGTGGCAGACGCGCCGCGACTCCCGGGTGGCCATGGGCGTCTTCTACGTTCTATGGAGCGCCGTTTTTTTTCCAGCCTCGCCGCAACGCTTCCACGGTGAACGCTCCCGCCTCGCCGCCACGCCGCGGCCAGGTTCGGCGCGAGGCGGGGCAGCACCAGCGTCTGTTTCTCACCCTGCTCCTTGTGTTCAACGTTTTGTGCTTGTAGTACAACTCGTGCGCAAGGCTCGCCTAATCACGATGATAAAGTGTCCCGAGCCCTGCCAGGCCGTCGTCAAGCGGCACGCGACGCACGTCGCCGGCGGCGTCGCCAGCGAGGCCGACCGCGAGCTCGCCGACGAGCTGCGCACGCTCGGCAACGCGGCCCTCAAAGCCGGCGACCACCTCGGCGCCTACGAGTCCTACTCGCGGGGCATCCTCGCCGTCGCCGGCAGCGCCTGGGAGGGCCTCGTCGCGCTCCACAACAACCGGTCCGCGAGCGCCATGGAGCTGGGCTGGCACGCCTGCGCGCGCGACGACGCGTGCGACGCGCTCGCCGTCGACGCGAAGGCCGTCAAGGCCTGGTTCCGCCTCGCGCGCGCGCTCGTCGCCCTCGGCGACCCGGCGGCCGTCGTCGTCTGCGAGCACGCCGCGCGCCTCGCGCCCCAGGACAAGGTCATCCGGGACTTGCGACAAAAGGCCGTCGACCGGTCCGTTTCCTCCTACAAGGCCGCGGCGCCCGTCGCGGTCGCCGTCGCGACGAAGGCCGTGGACCGGGAGGCGGCGGACAGCGACTCCGACGAGGATTTCGACGACGTCGTCGTCGCGGAGTGCGTCAAGTTCGACGTCGCGACGCTGACGCAGACGACGGGCGGCACGGTGTGGGACGCGGCGCTGCTCCTCTCGCACTGGCTCGCAGCGAATCTGGACCTGCGCGGGCTCCGGTGCCTGGAGGTCGGCGCGGGCTGCGGCGCCGTGGGCCTGGCGTGCGCGGCCCTCGGCGCGCGCCACGTCGGCGTGACGGACAACGACTCTGAGGTCGTCGCGCACCTCGCGGGGAACGCGCGGCGCAACGGCTTCGAGCACGTCGTCGACGCCTACGAGCTCGACTTCTGCAAGCCGCTGGGCGAGCCGAGGGCGGACTACGACGTCGTCGTCGGCTCCGAGTGCGTCTACTACGATTCGTGCGGAGCGCTCGCGGACTTCGTCGCCGCGGCCGTGCCGCCGGAGGCGCGCAGCGCGGACCGGCCCTGCGCCGTCTTCTGCATGGCCGACAGCCGCGTCGGCATCGACGCCTTCGCGGCGACGGCCCGGCGCGCGGGCTTCGCGTACGAGCGCGTCCCCTTCCCGCGCGAGCTCCGGCGCCGCGCGCGGAGCGCGAACCCGGCGCAGCTCGCGGGCGTCGAGGGCAACACGCACAGCGTCCACGTCCTCTACCCGGCGGCGCCGCGCGAGTAAGAAATGTGGGTTCAACGCTCGATGTTGTCGCATCGTTGAAGCGAGGCTTGTTGTTGACTTTGTCGAGCTCGATCTGAGCGCTTGGGCGCCGCAATCTGACGCGATGAAGGCCGCATTGCTCGTAGCGCTCTGCGCGACCGCTTCGGCGCTGAAGCCGACGACGCGCCGCGACGTGCTCGCGAAGGTCCTCACCGCAAGCACCGCAGCCGTGCCCGTCGCATCATTTGCTCGCTCGGAAGCAGAGATGGACGCGCGATCGACCGGCGGCAGCGCCGACGAGGACATGAAGGGCCTGTTGTCCGGCTACAAGACGGACCTCAGTGCCAAGGAGAAAGCGAGCGACCGCGTCCACGTTCTGTTTTTCGCGCGCGCGACGAACCCGCGTCGCGTAGGCCGCGGCGCAAAAGAAGCTCGACGAGGAGAAGAGCATCCAGGAGAAAATCAAGCTCGAGTTCGAGAAGCAGCAGAACGCGCCCAAGAGGCCCGGGCCCGGCACGGCGACGACGGCGCGGCCCAAGGCCGCGCCCAAGGCCAAGTACACGGGCGACGGGCTCCCCGGGTCCTAGGCCGTCGCGAAGCTCCCTAAGCGACGAACGTTACTGGGGCGCGTCGCCGAGCTCGGCCTTGGCCAGGCCCTGGGAGACGAGGCGCTGCTGGAGCATGGCCCGGAACTCGCCCATGACCTTGTTCTCCTGCTGCTGCTTCTCCTCGAACGTGATGAGCGCGAGCGCGCGCTTCTCCTCGGCGGAGTAGACCTGGTTCTCCTTGCGGATGCGCACGGCGTTCATGCGCGCGTGGCGGCTGCCGCTCATGACGTAGCCCACGCTCTCGAGGCGCTCGATCTCCTCGCCCTGCCAGCCGACCTCGCCGCGCCGGGGGATCCGCATGTTCTTCTGCACGTACTGCGCGATGGCCGCGCCCTCGCCGGGCCGCAGGGCGCCGCCGTAGTCGACGGCGCCGCCGCCGAGGCCCTCGAGCGCGTCCGCGTCGGGCAGCGGCGCGGGGCCGTAGTCCTCCTCGTCGCTCGACTCGGCCGCGGGCGCCGACGACCCCTGGACGAAGCGCTTGAAGTCCGTCGCCTCGCGCGCCTCGGCGGCGTCCAGGAGCGCCGGCGCGGGGTCCGGGACGGGGGGCGACGCGGGCGCGTCGTCGCCGTCGTCGTCGCGCGACCGCCTCGCCTTCTTCGCCTTCTTCTTGGCCTTCTTCTCCTCCTTGCGCTTGCGCTTGCGCTCCTTCTTTTCGCGCTTCTTCTTCCGCTTCTTGTCGTCGTCGGATGAGTCCGAGTCGGAGGAGCTCGACGACATGGTCGGCGGGCGGCGCGGGCGGGCGGCGCCGTCTCAGGAGAGCTCGCCAAGGTGATACTACCGCAACGTTGCCGCTGCTCAAACGCCAGGGTGTGTCTCCGGCCGAGCGCCCCGCACGGGGCTGCTCGTTCGACGGCATGACGGAGCTGCCGAAGCTGCGCAATGTGGAGGCCCTCTACGGGCGGGCGAAGCGCACGGTGGAGAAGAAGCGGGGGCGGAAGACGCAGGCCCAGCGCGCGTCCGAGGAGATCTTCAGCCACTTCACGCTGAACAAGGACCCCGAGGCGTCCAAGTACATGCCCTACGACGAGGTCGCCTACCCGTCGCTCCTCCGGCGCACGCACGGCGTCGCGAAGCTCCAGGAGAGCGCCAAGGAGGAGCTCGACGCCATGTGGATGTCCGGGCACCTCGACTACCTGCGGCGGACGGAGATGAAGCAGGTCGCGCAGTCGATGCGACCCTTCCTCGAGATGCCCGGGTCGACCATGCTGCCCGGCGCGGCGCGGGAGCAGCGGCGCCTCGAGAAGAAGAAGCGCCACGGCCAGCGCGAGGCCGAGCGCGAGGCGAAGCAGAAGAACGACCGCGACTTCCTGGGGTTTCGGAAGCCGAAGCACATGCTCGGCAAGAAGCGCCACGAGATGCGCGACGGCGAGGACGACGGCATCGGCGTGCCCCGGGCGCCGGATCCCCACGGGTCCCTGTCCGAGCAGGAGGAACTGCGGCTGAAGCAGCTCGCGCGGAAGCTCCTCTTCCCGCCCAAGGTCGTGAACGCGTACGCGAAGACGAACCGCCAGCTGCGGCGCGCGGCGGCGGCGAAGCGGCCGCGGCGCATCGAGCCGACGATGAAGTGCGGCGTCGTGTCGACGCTCGTGAACCGCTACCAGATCGAGGCCGCGGCCCAGGTCGTCGTCGGGGCAGGAAAAGAGTGCGAAATTCCCAACTTCAAAGGCTCCTCTCTCGGCCGTTTTCCACTCGTTTCGGCTGATTTTTGGACGAGCGATCATCTCTCGGAACGGTCTCGAAGCATGGATGCTTTTTCTGGAACGCGCGCGCGCGGAACACTCACGTTGAAGCGACGTTGAATCACTCTTGTGCGGCCCAGGTCGTCGTCGCGCGCGCGTACCGCACGTACCGGCGCCGCGAGCTGCTCAAGCTCCGCATGGAGCAGAACCGCGTCGTCGTCTGCATCCAGACCTGCGCCCGGGGCTACGTGGCGCGGCGCCTCGTCGCCATCTGGCACCAGAGTAGCCAGCAGCTCGCGGTCAAGTGGCAGGCGCGCATCCGAAGAGCGCTCGTCGTGCGCGACACGAACCGGCGGCTCCAGCAGCTGCGGCGCACCTACGTGACGATCCACCGCGCCGTGCGCGGTTTCCTGGGGCGGGTCAGGGCTCGGACGCGGCGCTGGGACATCTGCGCGACGCAGATCCAGATCATGTGGCGCGGCGCGCGCGGCCGCTGCGTCGCGGACCGCCTCTGGCTCGACCGCCACCCCGTGCCCATCCAGAAGCGCGTGCGCGGCGTGCTGAACCGCAAGCGCTTCGCGCGCATCAAGAAGGAGGTCTACACGGCGACGCTCGCCATCAGCCGCTGCTTCCGCGGCTTCGCGGGGCGCCGGCGGCGGAACGCGGAGCTCTACGCGCGCGAGTCCGACGCGTTGCAGAACCTGTTGCGGTTGTTGGCGTCCGAGGCGGAGCAGATGAGCGACAAGGCGAAGAAGATCGAGAAACGGGTGCTCAAAAAGAACCTCAAGGAGAAGATGGACGCCGCGAAGCGGGACCTGGCGGCCGCGAGCGACGAGGTCGTGAAGACGGAGGCGCGCTACCTGCTCCTCATCTCCGAGTCGGAGCGGTGCACGCCGCGGGCCATCGCGTCGGGCTATCGGGATGAGATGAAGGGCCAGATCGAGGAGCACCGGCGCATGATCACGTCCCAAAAATCGGAGACGCTGTTCACGAAACTGATCAAGCACCGCGAGGCCGTCGCGACGTACGAGAAGAACCTGGAGACCATCGCGCGGGCCAAGTTCCTGGCCAACGAGGCCAACGAGGCCCGCGACTGCGAGCTCAAAGCCATCTGGGCGCGCGAGAGCCGCACGCACCACGACAGCGCGGCGCTCGACAAGCGGCGGGCCATCGGCGACCAGAAGCGGTCGTGGCGCGTCAAGTTCTACAACGAGCAGGGCAAGCCGAAGAAGCGGATCCGCCCCGGCGACTTCGAGGACATGGCGCGGCGCTTCGGCGACGAGGCGGAGGTCTACTGCGGCGGCGGCGTGGATTTGTTCGCGTTCAACGACGCGGAGAGGCACCGGCTCGGGTCCGAGGAGGCGCTCCAGGCCCTCGACGACAAGATCCGCCTCCAGTCGTGGCTGAACCAGGTCGAGCAGGTCGAGGAATTGTTCATGCCCCTCGTGGAGCCGCTGAAGCGCATGCACCGCGCGACGTCGGTGCTGCCGGACCTCGACGCGGGCGGCTTCCGCGACGTCGCGGCCATCGGCGTCGGGCGCCACGTCATCCCGACGGTCCACGGCGTGTCGTCCCAGGAGTGGGACCAGGCGAGCCACGAGCTCGCGCCCGAGGCGCCCTCGCGCGCGCTCGTCGTCGTCCCCGAGCCGGCCGAGGACGTCACCGTCGAGGACCTCGAGGCGACGTCCGCGTCGACGACGTCGGAGCGGACCCGGTCGACGAAGTCGCGCAAGCACTCCACACACTTCGACGTCCACGAGACGCCCGTCGACGCGGGCGCGAACCTGGCCTGGCGCGACCCGAAAGACGAGAACGCGCACGCGCGCGGCGCCGTCGTCGTACCGCTGGCGACGAACCTGCAGCTGTCGAAGAAGGTGCGGCGGCGCAAGCGCGAGCGCAACGTCGTGTCGCGCATCCCCTGGTCCCTGCTCGACGAGCTCGACGCGGAGAAGGAGCGCTTCGCGGCCCAGCAGCTCGCGGACACGCTCATGGGCGACGGCTAGCGTAAAAAAAAACCGGGCGTTAGGGCGCGAGGCTCCGGCCCCCGTCGGGGAGCGACGCGCAGGCGGGGGAGCGGCCGTTGGACGACGCGCAGAGCAGGGGCGGGATGGCCGCGTCGTCGGGCGCGATCGCGAACGCGCGCTCGAGGTCCGCCGTCGACGCGCGCCGGTCGCCGAGCTTCTCGTGGGCGTGGGCGCGGTCCTTGAAGGCCTCGGCGTAGTCCGGCCGCAGGGCGATGGCGTCGCCGAAGGGCGCCAGCGCCCGGTCCCACATCCCCGCGCCGAGGAAGAAGCGGCCGAATTTCAGGTGCACCGCGGCGAGCGCCGTCGGCGACGGCGCGCCGGCGAGGGGCGGCCGCGCCGCCGCGGCCCGGTAGGCGTCGCGGCACCGCTCGACGGCGCGCGCCGCCGCGGTCGTGTCGCCGGCGCCCGCGAGCACCTCGCCTAAAATGATGTTGACCTCGGGCTGGAGAGGTCGCTCGTCGGCGGCGCGCGACAGGTAGGCCACGGACTCGCGGAAGAGCTCGGGCCGGCCCTCGAAGGCGAGGTGCGCCGCGGCGATGCCCGCGCCGTGGAGCGCCTCGACGTCGCGGGGGTTGTTCGCCAGCGCCCTTTTCGAGAATTCGAAGCGCTCGGCCGCGCCGTAGCCGAGCTGCCCCCCCACGGCGACGGTCTCGCCGACGTTGAGCGTCGCGTGCTTCCAGCCCGGGGGCAGGTAAAAAACGTCGCCGGCGCGCTGGAGGCAGGTCTTCGGGAGGTGGCGCGCTTGGCCGTAGACGGCGCCGTACCAGGCGCGCGCGGACGCCAGCGGATGGAGCGCCGCCGAAACGTCGCGCGGCGGCCCGTCGCCGAGCTCGTAGCAGAACCAGCGCTTCGCGCCGTGGACGACGCCGAGCCAGGTCTCGCCGTGGGCGTGCATGGGCAGGCCCGCGCGCGACGGGCCCAGGCTCAGGAGCTGCCAGTGCGCGCCCCCCAAAAGCTTCTGCGGGAACGCCTTCCGGAGGAGCGTCGGCGTCGAGAAGTCCCCGCGGAGCTCGGGGATGGCGTCGAGCACGGAGACGTCGAAGGCGAAGACGTCGTCGGCTAGCACGGACGTCGAATCGTTGGCCAGGGCGGCCGTCGCCGCGTCGACGCGGTCGAGCAGCGCCCGCAGCGTCGCGTGGTTCGTGACGCCGCCGCCGGCGAAGACGATGTCGCTCCCGGCGCCGTACTGCGTCGCCCGGCCGGCGTAGGCCTCGCGCAGGGTCTCCTTGCGCCAGCGCCGCCCGGCCTTCCAGCGGCTCGCGGCGCCGCGGAGGAGCACGGGGGTTCTCGTTCGCCGATACCGCTCGAGCGCGGCCGCGTCGAGCGCCGACGCGTTGACGACGTCGAAGTCGCAGAAGCTCCGGCCGGCGAGGCCCGTCAGGAGCTGCCGCGGCGCCACGTCCGCCGCCCAGCCGCCGCTGTCCGAGGCGAGCGCGGCGCTGAGCGCCGCCAGCGCGTCGTCCGCGCTCGGGCTCTGCGCGCGCGCGACGAACGCGGCCACGCCGGCGACCGCGAGCGCGACCGCGACGAGGAGCGGTGATGCGTTTTTTTGTGGGTTTGGTGGTGCTTTTGCCGCTTCCTGTTTCCCCTTTTTGCGGGCCATGCCGCAGGTGCCGCGATCGGGCTACTCGTCGTCACTCGTCGTCACGCGCTACGGCCGGCGGCGAGGTCGAGCGCCGGCCTTTGCCATGCCTGCACTTGATGCCTGGGCAGTTTTGCAGCGAGCATCATCACGCGTTGTTGCAGTCATAGAGCAGTCACGAAAAAAGACCGCGTGCATCGTCGAGAGCACCAAGGTGAATACTACCACCGTGCCCGACGGGCTCAAGAACACCAACAAGACGAGCGGCGTTTATCCGAGCGGGCGGCTCCCGCGCTCACTTGAGGAGCGGCTCCGCCTCCTGCGCGGCCGCGGCCGCGGCCTCCAGGCGCTCGCGTCGTACCTTCAGACAGCACGCGACGGAGAAGCTGCAGACGAAGACGACGGCGAGGATGATGATCCAGACGAGCATCGTCTCGTCCATGCCGCCGTCGTCGTCGTCGTCGTCGAGATCCGAGCTGTCGCTGGAGCTGTTCGTGGCGTTGCTCGGCGCCGGCGTGGGCGCCAGGGACGGCGCATCCGTCGTGACGTTCGCCGTGGCGTTGATCGTCGGCGCGAAGCTGGCCGTCGGCGCCGCGGACGGCGCCAGGGACGGCGCGTCCGTGGGCGCCGCCGTCGGCGCGTCGGGCAGCGGCTGCGCGGTGACCTGGGCCATGAATAAAAAAATGGCGAGGCTTCTGAGTCCCCAGGGCGCCATGGCTTGCTGGCGTTGCCGAGAGGCTGCCTCTCGTTAGTCGGGCTGCGACGGCGCGGGCTGCCCGACGACGTGTCGAATTTGGTGGCACGAACAGCTGAAAGGTTAACATCGATGCGTCGCGCGCCCGCATCGCGCACCGAACAGCACTCTGCACACCTTCTCGCATCTCGCATCCTGCAGAGAGCGGCGCCTGCCACAGCTGCAGCGCGCACTTCGCATCGCGCGGCGGCGCTGCCGTAGCGATGGCGAGCATGGACGACATCGCCCAGTCGCTCCACGGCATCGAAGCGGCCATCAAAGCCTCGAGCGGTGTCGCGACCGAGGAGCCGGACGACGACGCCGGCGACCACCTCGTCCTCACGATCACGCCCTACGTGAGCGCCGCGGACGGCGCCAACGCGTTCGGCTACTACTACGCCGACGCCGCGGACAGGGAGGACCGGCTGCCGTTCACGCCGCGCGCGCTACGAGCGAGCGACGACGCGTTCCGGCGCGCCGTCGGCGCCGTCGCCGCGCGCTACGCGGCGGACGCGGCGCAGTCCATCCTGGCGACGATTCTAGACGGCTGGCCCTTCGAGTTCGTCGGATTTCAGGAGGCGGGCGACGACTTCTTTTTCACGCTGCGACCGACGACGCCGCTCGCGCGCGCGGAGCGCGAGGCGGCCGCCGCCGCGGTCCGCGGGGGCGGCGACACGTGGGACTGCGGCGACTTTGGGGACCTGCGCGCGGATTCGGCGGAGCCGCCGGGCTTCGCGGATTTTTTCCGGGCGCGGTTCTCGGACCCGGACAACGTCAGGATCCGCCTGACGCTCTGCGACCCCATGGCGAGCCTCGAGCCCGAGTAGTAAAATTATGGCGGCGTCCAGGCCCGCATTTCCCCGACGAAGGTCGGCGCCTCGTTCTGCGCGAGGTCGAGGACGTGGGTCACGCAGGGGAGGATCTCGTCCCGGTGGTGCGAGATGAAGACGATGGAGGCATGCGGCGCGACGGCGTCCGCGAGCGCGAGCACGCGCGCGCGGTGCGTCGCGTCGAGGCCCTGGCAGACCTCGTCGAGCACGAGGAGCTCAGGTTTGGCCGCGACGGCGCCGGCGACGAGCACGAGCTTCTGCTCGCCCTGGCTCAGGGCGCGAAAGGGCCGGTCGAGCGCGGCGGCGCCGACGCCGAAGCCCGCCTCGAGCACGTAGGCCGCGGCGCCCGCCGTCGCGCCGAAGCACCGGGCGACGACCGACGCGGCGTCCGCCCGCGCGGCGAGCGCGAGGTGCAGCTCCGTCGACACCCAGGCGACGGCCGCGGCGCCGCCGCGCGCGACGTCGACGCCGAGCACCTCGAGGGACCCCGCGAGGTCGCCGCTCCGGCCCGTCGGGAACCAGTCGCGGGCCGCGAGCGGCCGCGCGAGGAGCGCGCCCAGCGTCGACTTGCCGCTGCCGTTGCCGCCGGCGACGAGCCAGTGCTCGCCGCGCCGCACGGTCCAGTCGACGTCGCGGAGCACGCGCACGTCGCCGGCCCGCACGCCGAGCCCCCGGGCCTCGACGACGGCGGCGTTCGATGAAGAACTAGGCGCGTCCGCGTAGACCGCCGCGGCGACGGATTCCGGCGGCGCCGCGGCCGACGCGGCGCAGAACGCGCCGAGCGCCGCGGCGAGCTCCGGCGGCGTCGGCGCCGTCGCGACGCCGTCGACGCCGAGCCAGGAGACGCGCGCGACCTCGGGCAGCACCTCCTCGGCGCGGTGCCTGTGCCGAATTCAAATCTTCAAATAGACTTCAATGTGAGTGTACGCGACAGTTTCGACGAAGTCTCTTCGGCCGTGCTTCGAGAACTCGACGAGAGCAATCGATTCGTCCAAAAATCAGCCGAATCGACTTCGATTTGACCGAGCTAGAGAATTCTCAAGTTTGGTCAGGACCACCCAAACCAGTGGTTGAATTCGGCACAGCGCGGTGCGTGATCTGCAGCACCTGGCTCCGCGCGGCCTCGGCGCCCGACGGCACGTCCTGGACGAGGAGCGCGGAGAAGCCGGTGAGCATCTGGCTCAGGAGCTTCGCGAGGGCCGCCCGCGACGGCGCGTCGAGGCCGTCGTACGCGTTGTCCAACAGGAGGAGGTCGGGCTTCCGCGCGAGCGCGCGCGCGAGGAGCACCTTGCGGATCTCGCCCGTGGAGACGGACCCGACGGGCCGCCAGAGCAGCGGGTGCAGCCCGAAGCGCACGACGAGGTACTTGCTCGCCTTCGTCTGCAGCTTGCCGCACGCCTCGTAGACCGTCAGGCCCTCGTCGACGAGCGCCCCGTGCGCCTCGAAGCTCACGCGCGCGCTCCGCGGCGCGCGCTCCACGGAGCCGCCCGCGACGACGGCGTCGTTGTCCAGGAAGGCCTCGGCGACGAGCGACTTGCCGCAGCCGTTGGCGCCGAGGAGCGCGTGGCCGCCTTGGGTCGCCGGCGGGATGTCGAGGTCGAGCGGGATCGTTGGGGTGCTGGACGGATAGGCCAGGCGCGCGCCGCGCAGGCGAGCGAGGGACGAGAGCCGGCGCATCACGGTGCGAGTTCGTTACCACGCTCGAGGCGCGACGCAGAGCTCATCATCCAGCTTTTGCTTGTGGAGTTTTTATGAGCGACTGCAAGTGAGACGACACACTCGGTGCTTGAACCTTCGAAAACTCGAACGCCGGACAATCGGGGAAGATGATGGGACGGCACCCCATTCCCAACGCACCCCATTCCCAACGCAGCCCATTCCTTACTCCTCCCACTCCCAACGCACCGCAGCGACCAGCCCACTATCAACGCACCGCAGCGACCAGCCCATTCCCAACGCACCATGCTCATGGATTGCACGACCTGCCACGGCTTCGACGAGTTCGACGACATGGGCCTGCAGCGCGCCGACGCGCCGCTGCATCTCTACCCCATCAAGACCAATGACCTCTGCAACTTCGTCGACGCGCGCGACGTCCCGCCCTGGCTGTGCCTCGCGACCACCGACGCGCGCTGCCTCGGGACGACCGAGTGCCTCTTGTCGGCGACCGACGCGCTCTGGCACGCGGCTCTGCAGGACGACGCCGAGGGCATCGCCGCGCTCGCCGCTACGGTCGACGTCGACGCGGCGGCCGACGACGGCTACGCGGCGCTGCACCTCGCGGCGGAGTCCGACGCCGTCGCCGCGCTGGAGATGCTCTGCCGCCTCGGCGCGGACCTCGAGCAGAGGGACGCAGACGGCCGCACGCCGCTCTTCGCCGCCGCGGCCCTCGGGCACGCCGCGGCCGCGGAAACGCTCGTGCTCGCGGGCGCGGACGTCGAGGCCGCGGACGTTTCCGGCCGCACGGCGTTCTGGGCCGCATGCGCTCTGGGCGAGCTCGCCGTCGCGGAGCTCCTCGCCGCCGCGGGCGCGGACGTCGACGCGCGCGACGGCGACGGCCTCGCGGCGCTCGACTTCGCGGCGGCGCGCGGCGCCGCGGACGTCCTCTCCTTCCTCCGCGGCCGCGGCGCGCGCGAGCGCCGGTGCCGCCTCGGCGTCTAGGGTGGTCGTTACCTAGAGCTCGCTCGCCGGGGGCTTGCCGCGCCGCCGGAACGCGTTCCCGAGCCGCCGCCGGACGCCCGCGAGCGGGCCCTTGCGCTCCGGCGGCGGCGCGGCGGCGGCGGCGGCGTCCTCCTCCGGCGGCGCCGCGTCGGCGGCAGCGTCTGCCGCCGCTTCGGCGGCGTCCTCCTCCGGCGGCGGCACCGTCGCGCTTTCGACTTCCGCCGGCGCGTCCGCCGTTTCCGCCGTTTTTTTCGCCGCCGGGTCGCCGGGGTCGTCGTCGAGGCCGACGCCCGCGTGCTCCTCGAGAAAGGCCGCGACGCGCGCCACGACGTCGTCGTACTGCGCGTCGTAGAGGTGCCGGTGCCGCTCGAGGAAGTCGCGCACGGTCAGCTTCCGCCGCGCGGCCTTTGTGGAGACGGCCGTCGGGTCGGCGAATTTCACCGCGACGTCGAGCCAGTACGTCGCGAGCGCCCTGGACTCCTCCGTCTGGTTGGCGCGCGTCTCGAAGATGAAGAAGAGGTGGAAGGCCGCGGCGCCGTGGCCCCGGAAGGCCGCCTTGGTGTACCAGTGGCGCGCCGCGGCCTCGTTCGCCGCGAGGCACCGGCCGGCGCCCGCCGCGCGCTCTTCCGCCCACCAGGGCGTGAACCGGTCGTAGTGCGTCGCCAGGTAGAACTCGACCTCGCCCGGCGCGCCGTCGGCGTAGGCATCGAAGAGCTTGCCGCGGGCGCGGAGCGCGAAGTTGCCGAGCTCCGACCGCGGGATCTCGGGGCCGTCGATCGCGTCGACCGCTACCCTTAACAGCCGCTCGCACCGCGGCGGCGCGGGCGGCGCGCCGCCGAAGGGCGCGCAGAAGAACTTGGCGAGGTGGAAGAGCGCCGTCGCGTTGCCCGACGCCGCGGACCGGAGCAGCGCGATGTACTCGTCGTCGTCGGCGACGTCGCGCTGCGCCTTCACGTCGGCGAGGGCGTCCTCGAAGGCGGCGAGCCGCGTCGCGTTCTTCGTGATCGCCGCCACCTCGACGAGGTCCAGCAGCGCCGTCACGTTCGGCTCCGCGAATGCGCACGCGAGAATGAGCGCGACAGCGCACGCGATTCGGCTGCCCATCATGATGGCGAGCTGCCCCTTGAAAACGAGTCGGACATGCCGTCAAGTTGAAGAACGGCTCGACGATGGCATCACTGCCGCAACAGACAACATGAGCTGAGCCGTCATGCCAACAACGGCCACGGTGCGCTTCGACGCCGCGCAAGTGCGCGCGAGCGCCGAGCTCGACTCGCCCGTGATAAACACGCTGGATAGCGGCTGCGAAATCGTCATCGTCGAGACGGTCACGCTCGCGTCCGGCCGCGAGCGCGTGCGCATCGACGCGCCCGTCGAGGGCTGGCTGTCGCGCATGTTCGTCGAGGACGACGACGCGGACGACGGCGACGCCGCGAGCTCCGGGTCCTCGGCGCGCTCGGAGGCCGCGTCCGACGACGGGGCCGCGTCCGAGCCGGCGTCGCCCGCGTCGCCGCGGCGGCGGCGCTGGCCCCGCGGCGCGCCCCTGTCCGCGGCGGCGCGCGGCCGCGTCGCCGCGCGGCCGGGCAACGGCCGCTGCTACGACTGCGGCGCCGCGCTCGACGGCCTCGCGTCGGCCGACGGCGAGGCCGCCTACGGCGACGCGGGCCGCGGCGTCGTCGTCTGCGGCGCCTGCGGCGAGCGCGCGCGCACGCTGCGGCACCTGGAGCTGGACAACTGGACGCCCGCGCAGTACGCCGCGCTGCTGCTCGGCGGCAACGGCACGCTGCGGGCCTACCTCGACCGCCACGGCGCGTCCGGCGCCGGCGTGTCCGCGCCGTTCGTCTACGCCTACGCGGACGCGCTGGCCGTCGCCGCCTGCGCCGCGGCGCGCGTCGACCTGGGCGTCGAGGAGCCCGAGGCCGCGGCGGCGGCCGCGCGCGACCGCCTCGCGGCGGACGCGAACGTCTCGCGGAACGCGCGGCTCGTAGCGGGCGCGGGCGAGGTCCGCGCGGTCGTCGCAAACGCGAAAACCCTGGGCCTGGGGCTCGTCGCCGCGCACGGCGGCCGCTGCGCCGTCCGCGCCGTCGCGGCCGCGTCGCCCGCGGCGCGCGCGGGCGTCGCGGTCGGCGACTACGTCGTCGGCGTCGGCGACCGGCGGGTCTGGCGCTACGGCGACGCGCTGGCGGCCCTGGGCCGCGCGCGGGGCCGCGGCGGCGACGTCCGCTTATTGCTGCGGCGCCCGGCGGGCGCGCCGCGGCCGCCGCCGCCGCCGGAGTCGCCGCCGGAGTCGCCGGGCTCGCTCCCGGCGCCGCTGCCGTCGTCGCCGCCGCCGCCCGAGGAGGCGGACGAGGGCGTCACGGGCGGCGGGCCGGCGCCGGAGGACCCGGACGAGGGCGTCACGGGCGGCGGGCCGGCGCCGCGCGACGAGATCGACGACCTCGTGGCGGAATTCGAGGACGATCTGGTCGCGGAATTCGTCGACGGCGAGCGGGGGGACCTGCCCGCGCGCCAGCGGCGCGGCGACGACGGCCCGCTCAAGGACTGGGCGACGGTGACGGAGTCGAGCTACGGCAGCCACCAGAAGGTGTCGAGCTACTGGGACGAGTCCGCCGCGGCGACGCCGAGCCCGCCGGCGAAAGCACGCAAGGCGCCGGCGCGGGACCGCGAGGCGCCGCCGCGGCCCGAGCTCCGGCCGCCGTCGCCGGAGCCGTCGCCGGAGCCCGTCGACGCGCCGCTCGCCGACGACGCGCCGCTCGCCGATGACGGCGAGCCGCTCGTCGCCGTCGCGCTCGGCGCCGGCGAGCCCCTCTGCGAGCGGCTCGAGCGCGACGGCTCGGGCGCGCGCGCCGTCGCGCGCGTCTTCGGCTGCTTCGGCGCGCCCGACGGCGCCGCCGTCGTCGGCGTCAACGCGCGGCGCGACGCCGTGTCCTACGACGTCGTCGTGTCGGCGCTGAGCGACTTCCGGCGGCCGCTGCTGGTCTTACTCCGGCCGCGGCCGCCCGGGTCGCCCGGCGCGGCGCCGCCGCCGCGCTACGACGAGGAGCGCCGCGTGACGCTGCCCGCGGGGCCCCTGGGGCTGCGCCTGACGGACGCCGCGGGCGCGGTCCGCGGCTCCTACGCGCGCGTCGACGCCGTGGCCATCGGCGGCGCCGCGTGGCGCGCGGGCGCGCGGGAGGGCCTCTGCGTCGTCGCCGTCGACGGCGTCGCCTGCGGCGGCCACGCCCACGCCCTCGCGTTGCTCGAGGAGGGCCGCCGGCCCTGCGTCGCCGTGCTGCGGCGCGTGAAGCTCCGCGCGTCGGCGCCGGCGGTCTTCCCCAGCGCGGACGACGTCGCCGCGCGCGTGCCGGGCCTCGTGCGGCGAAGCGCCGCGGCCGTCGACGCGTTCGTCGAGCGCGTCCGGGGCATGGAGCCCTTCACGGACGCCGCCGCGGCGCTTAGTCAGTCTTCTTAGGATCTTGCTTTCGCCTTCGTCTCCGCGCGAATCATCTGACGAGGAGCGCCGGCGCGGCGGCGTCCCGCGCCTCGTCGTCGAAGATGGCGAAGGGGAGCGCCGCGGGCTGCTCGTCGTCCTCCGGCGCGTCGTCGAAGGACCGGGGCCGCGGCTTCGCGGACGCCGCGGCGCCCGCGTCGAGCACGGATCGCGGCGAGCCCGCGGGCGGCGGCGCGGCGGGGCTGCCGCTGCGGAGGCGCAGCGGCGTCGCGCGGGGCTTCAAGGCCAGCGCGGCGGGCTTCTTCTTGGGCGTGGCGCCGGCGCCGCGCTTCGTTGGGCCGTCGCCGCCGTCCTTGCCGTCGCGCGGATCGATGTTCTCCTTGTTCTCGTCGGCCCACGACGAGTAGACGCGGCGCGGCGCCGCGGCGTGCTTGGAAAGGCGCGGCATGGGACGTGCACGCGGTGGCGACTGACGACGACGCGGTACCAGAGCACCAGGCGACGCGAGAGCGGGACAATTCGCGTAAACCGCGCTTTTTCAACGCGTTCGAACTGCTCATCAAGGTTGGCTTATTTCCTTCATCAGTGCTCTGTTCATAAGCATGGTCGACGGAGTCCGCTCTCGAGGCTCGAGTAACGGGGAGTCGCAGGCGCCGCCCGCGGGCTGCGACACTGCGCTGGGGACCTCGCCCGATGAAGTGCTGGCGCGCTGGTTGGTCGAAACGCACGCGCGCGCTCTGGATGGCTTTGACCTCGACATGCAGAATATCCCGGACGTGGAACTGGTTCAAGCTAACAAGGTCCTGGCAGGGCTCGCCCGGCGATACGCTCGGGACTCGAGAGCGCGCCTCAAATTAAACCCATTCCTGACGTCCATCGGTGCTGGCTGCGTCGATGCCGTCGAGATGTTGATTCGGCACGGCGCATCGATTCACAACGTCGATTGCAACTTCGTCCGCGAGAACGCGCGCCACGCCGCCGTCCGCCCCGACCTGGACGCGCCGCACCGCGGATTGCCAGCTCTTTGTGCATGTTTGGCGGCGGCAACGCCTTTCTGGCGGATACAAAACGTTAAGGCTTTTAGCTGTGCTCGCAAGCCTGACCATCTTGGAGTCGCGCGTTGTCTCCTTGAACACGGCGCTGATCCGACGTCGGGATTCAAGGACGAGACGCCTCTTTGCTATGCACGAAAGCGCGGCGGCGACCTCCACGAGTTCGTCACGCTCCTCGAAGCGCATCCGAAGGTCCGGCGCGCGCTGAAACGCCGCACGTGTGCGAACTGTGAAGGAGAGGGGTCGCTCGTCGCGCCTCCGTTCCAGAAATGCGCGTGCTGCGAGAGCGTCCGCTACTGCTCGCGCGACTGCCAGATCATGCACTGGAAGCGCGCGCACCGCGACGAGTGCCAGCCGAAGGCCTCAGGGTAAATTTGTTTGTTAAAACGACCATCGCCAAACCTCAGCCGAAGCAGAGGAAGAAGAAGAGGAGCGTGCCCACGGAGAGGATGCCCGCGCGCATGCGGCGCATGGCGACGCGCTCGCGT